CTCCCTCACGCACCCACAATCCCTCCCCTGAAACCCTTGCTGCCGCCAGCTATGCCTCTTGTTCCGGCGTGTTCCGGCGGGCTTTGCCGGCGCGCAACCCAGATCTGAGCTCCCCTGCCTCCGCTCTTCCCTCCCCTCCGGCAAGATCCGCATCTCGCGCCCCCGGTAGCTCATCCCCAACCCCTTCCCACGGCTAGGACTTCGAGGGTGGCGTTCCCACCAATTCCGGTGCGGCGGCGGCGACTGTGCTCTGCCCTCTTCGACGCCCACCAACCTAGCCGCATGGCACGGCCATGGCCATGGCGGTGGCCAGATCCACCCCCTCCCTCATCTCCTCGCTGCCGCCACCTCCTCCCCGTCCTGCATCGGCGCGTCCCGCCACCACCTCCTTCCTTGATGCGTCCCACAGTGACGCCCATCGTGTCCCGCAGTTGCCGTCCCTCTCCCTCAATCCCCAGCGCGTTCCCTAATCCCCACCCCCAACCAAAATCTTCTCCATCTCCCTCGGCCGATTATCCTCCCGTCCGCATCCCCTTCCCCACCCCCGCTCCTAGATCGTGCCGCGCGCTGCCCCTGACCGCCGCGGGAACCCCACCCCGCCACCGACGAGGCCCGACCCCCAGGGGCCCAGCCAAGATGGTGCTCGCGTAGCTGGGCGGGAGCATCTCCCGCGCACGCTTGCGCAGATGAGCAACACCACGGTCAACGAGAAGGTGCTCGGGGAGTGCCTCAATGAGATCTCCCGCGCGCTCCTGCAGTTCGACGTCCGGAAGATCGTCAACCTCGAGACCCTCGCCGCCGGCACCAACATGCAGCGCATCATACAGCAGGTCCCACCCGCTCCACCTCCCTCAATTCATTTACTGCGCTAATTCGATCGAGGAACTGGTCGGGAGGAGGCTGATGCCCTTGTGTTTTTCCTGCTGCAGGCCGTCTTCAGGGAGCTCTACAACATGCTGGATCCAGGGAAGCCGGTCTTCAACCCCAAGAAGGGCTAGCCCAACATCATCATGTTCGTCAGATTGCAAGGCCAGTCTGACTCACCAACCAACCTCGCTCGCTTGCTCTATTTATTATTCTACACCTATTACTGAATGTATATATGTACCACTCTGTGTGTAGCATTTTTCTAACTGTACAATAGCACTCACTCCTCTACTGTCACATAATAGATTAGCCTTAAATTCATCTAGTTTGGATCAAAACAGAACCATTGATTAATACTCGATGATTGTTACTCTACATTTGGTTACAGATTTCTTTGAACTAGTTTGATTTCCTGCTGATCTACATCCTTTACTTACTTGCATGCTTGACTGAATTTACTACTGCTGTTACTCTAGTGGTGAACGAGATAGGCATTGTATTGCTTGTTTCCTTGCTTCCACAAATTAAAACTCAGTAATCTTGTTAACTGCTAGCGTTGTCATGAACCACACATCTGAGATGAACTTGACATTGATTTGCTCGTGTGTCAAGTATGGATAGACTTTGTTATTCACCAGTATTCAGGCGGTTGAAGTGTGCGTGTTGCTACGGCTGTTAGGATGTCGTTGGGTTGTTATCACTAGTACTAGTCCTATCAAATTGCCTGTGAGTAGTTCATTACCATGCTATCCAGGGGATATTTATTTATGTGCCTGTGAATTCGTTCTTGGTGTGTATGTATGTATATGTGCTAGCAACATGAGTACGAATTAGCATCATGCTCGGCTGGGATGAATTGCATGCATACATTGATCCAGGGAAAAGTGTATGGCTGATACAATCCTATTTTTCACAAATCTATTATACACTTTGGGAAATACAATAATTTGTTCTTTACTAAATGCACTGCAAGTATGGATGTTGATGCATGCATGCATCTAGGGTGAGTCGTACCTAGTTGTTCTTTATGCATCTCCAGTCGTACCTAGTATTGTTTTAATGGAATCAGTACAATTTCTGTGCACATTGGGATTGCTCTATTTGCTTCATATTATGGTGTAAGTGTCTTGCTAGCTTATTGTGGCAGCCGCCTGGATTATCGCTCATAGTGTCACTCGTATCACGCTACACTGGCTAGGCTTCTACCGGCTATTTCGGTGTCGTGCTACGCTGGCTGGGCTTCTCTGGACCGGTAAAAAAAATTAATAGATCGATCATTGGCATGGAGAGATCGATCCTTCCGTGCGATCTGTTCAGTGAAAAAAAAGAGAATGGGATCGATCAGGGTAGTATATTTGTACTGTTATGATGAATAAGAGCTTCCAGTTAATTACATAATATTGGTGATGTAGTTTTACTTGCTATGTATGCTTGCTTAGTTGTTCATCGGGTCGCTCTCTTTTATTTTTTGAGTGCGCCAACTAGTTCGGCCAGCCTCTCTATGATTTATTCTGATAGCTTATGGAGTGCTTCTATCTATATTTGTGAAATATTTGACCCAACAAAAAAATCTTAATCAGTCTGCTCTCTCAAAGTTGAGTTTGGGCTGCTGCATATGAATGATTTTTTTTCATAGTTTGATTTTGAGGATGCTGTTGCTGCTAAAGTAGCAACAACAATCACGCTTTGGTTCCCAAAAATTCAGATGGCACTTGCATCTCTACATACACACACATATGAATATGCACCTCGGTTTGGCTGAGTTTGCATGTTTACATTTGCTTTAACTTGACTTAAACTATCTTGGTGACACTTTGCATCAATGGTGTGTTCTACCCTTATAGATGTCCTTGGAGAAGATGGTCATTGGAGTGTAGGAGAGGAACAACCTTGTCCTGCTCGAGGAGGAGGAGGAGGACCACCCGAGCTCGATGACGACACGGCAACAGGTAGCACTCGCCTCCCTCCCAAGGTGAAGATCTGATCCGCCTGTTTAGATGGTCTGCTCTTGTCTTATGCATGTGAGGGGAGAAGAAATCAATTGGACTGAATTATATTTGCATGTGAGGGGAGCGATCCTTTTGGTAGATGCAGAGTATAGATTCACAAAATTCACCACATGAGCGTACTACCTATATCCAAATTCTGGATACAACTTGCATGCTTGAAAAGATGATTTCATTGAATGCTTGAAAAGATGAGTCGCTAAAGTGAATGATGTGAGGGATGTTCTCACGTATTACTGTTAGTGTCGTTCCTTTTCTGTCTTCTTTTGTCAGATTTTGTTTTTTGTAGTAATTTAAGTTCTGTTTTATAGACCTATTTGTTTGTGTTACTATTTTATTTGTCTGGTGATGAAAAACCTGTTAATCATACCATCTTTCGAGACTGATTGGTCGCAGTGCGCCCATGCTGTCATTCTGCAATTCTTAGGACAAATTGAACAGCTTGACTGTAATTTTTCTGAATACTTTCGAACTTACATGTCATCTATTTTTCAGTTTTTTTATTCTATTGTTTCCTATGTATAGAATATGGCTGGACAACGATGAAAACTGAATAAAACACCATCTTTTTGGACACCTAATGACTGGACAAATATATTCATATTTTTTAAGTTGCTTTGATCTTTGTTGATAATTTTTTGGTCTAAAATCTTTCTCTATGAAGAGAGTACAAGCAGACGGGTGGTCTGAACTGATGCCATGTTGATATGTCTGCATCATCTGTGCTACCCTTGTGGTTGGCATCTGAGAGAAAAAAAATTGTGCACTTTGTTCTTCTCATAAGTTACATTTTTTAAATTCTTCTACTTTTTGTCCTGTTTGCACTTAGCTTCTAGTATCCCTCTTTGTTGCACTTGGTCTGAGGGGGATGTAGTGGGCGCGGATAGGGAAATGGTTTACTTGCCAACCCTTTGTAGCGTTTGCCATTTCTTTGGATTAGTGGCAGTGATTTGAACCTTACCCATGCTTCTGATTAATTCATGAAGGACAAGGGAAAACATGGTTGAATTTCTTAATATGAGGCAAAAAGAGACACTTTCATTATTGTCATTCTTTTAGATTCATGTGTTCTGTTTGACCATGGCTGTGATGAAAAACACTTTCAACAAACATGCCAGTTCTGCTTCTGAAAATTCATGACTGAAAAACCTGTTATACAAGATCTGTTTAGTACTCACGTATTATGGCCATGGCTTATTTAGTATGTGCTTGATGTGCCATGTGTATTCGTGCCTAATTAGCTTCTTTTAGGCGATAATCTACTGGTTATAGCAAGATTTTACTCTTATTTTGTGGAATAGATGGTTCATGTGTACTGCGATGTACTAGTTGAGCTCTGTTGGCTATACTAGTCGAACTCTGCTGCTTCTAACTCATATCAATTTTGCTCCTGCTGATGTACAAGTGATGCTTGTGTGATTGTTGATGGAAAGGAACTAGCAAACTTTGTTGTTTTGCAACTGAGTGAATGAAACTTCAATTTGTACGTCACCCAGCTTGCTGTTGCGGTGGCTGTCGATGCTGGCGAGCCTGCAACATCTCCGATGAGCTGCAGGACCTGGAACATCTCATGTGCTCCAAGTCCATCTATCTCATGTGCATGTAGATCATGATGTACCAGAACCCTACAACAGAACTACTGATGTAATATGCGAAGAACAAATTGAAACCATGTTCTGTATCCTGACTTGTTATTTTCTTCTCTAGCAAATTGTAGACATGAATCTCTAGTTGACCTATTGTTTCATAGACATATATCTGCATTTCTACTGCTTTATCATACATTCGATACATAAATCTGCATTTCTGTGAAATTTTGTTAAATATATATTTTCCAGATAGTCTATACACTAAACCTGGAGGTTTGAATATCTACTCCAGGAATGAAAATGCTACTCTAATGACTTTGTGTTCACCCTTTTACAGGAGCTCCAGGCCTAAGAAATTTCAAGTTTGAAGTGGCATGTTCTGATAGTCCAGAAAAGTGAAGAAGTCTGGAGTGTATTTGTAGTAGGAGTTATATGTTCTGATAGTATCACATGTAATGGTGAAATGAATTATGTAAAGATTGTGCTATTAGCCAAAATTGGCATGTGGTTTGATAATTCTCATTTGTTTGTTGTTATGACTGAAATAATTGTGTGGAAATTGAAACATTGGTTGTCTTGAATTAGAACCTGACAAGTGGTACCTAATAGTATTTGGCATATAAAAAGGCCATTTTCCAAATAATATTCACAGGAAAAAAACCCTAAAAACTAAGAAAATGGACTGTAAAAGGCTGAGGCCCAATTGAGAAATAGATGCGGCCCAAAAAAGAAACCAAAAAAGGATCACAACCCTGGAAATGAAAAGGCTGCAATGTTGGGCTTGGCCCATGAAGTTGACCAAAAATTAACAGGAAAAAAAATAGAAAGGCTGAATTAATGGGCTCGGCCCATCTAAAGCACCAAAATGGACCGGGCTGATTCTAAGTAATGATCATTTTAATTGGTCATAATTTTGCCACGTCAGATTGCCACGTCGAATCCGACGTGTCCTGGGAAGACAGCCAGTGACCAAAACAAAAGGTCATGGGTTCAACGACCTTCTGTTTTGGTCATAAACGTCTACAACTGTCACGCCCAATATGCGACCCTATCCAAAAGGAACTCGAAGGTCCCACCAAGGATAGACCCGCATATTGAAACGCTTTTGCAAGGTGGATATCATTACATCAACATTACATAATAGATGGGGATACATACAAGAGGCATACAATGCCACATGAATACAACATCACAATACATAAGAGCATCATCCGACTACAAATGAAACACAAACAGAAACTCAAACGACATCCACCCTGCTAGCCCAGGCTGCCGACCTGGAACCTATCCCCTGATCGAAAGAGCAGAAGAAGAACTCAACGCAAGCAAGCATCGCTCTCGCGTCATGATCATCGCACAACCTGTACCTGCAACTGTTGTTGTAGTAATCTGTGAGCCACGAGGACTCAGCAATCCCATTACCATGGGTATCAAGACTAGCAAAGCTTAAAGGGAAAGGAAGGGGGGGTAAAGTGGTGAGGCAGCAACAGCGACTCAGCATATATGGTGGCTAACATACGCAAATAAGAGCGAGAA